TATATAAAATCAATATATATAATCAATTAGTCCATCTATCCATATGCAGTTTTAACTCATGTTAGTCTGAGTTCAGTATTATATTCTATACAATAATGCTTTCCATGTAGAAATGTTGTACTGTATTTGACATTTTTAAAGTGTCCTTTAATAGCTGATAAGCAATTGCCCAGCTAGCAGATGCCACCCTATCGGCCTGGCTCTGTTGTATCCACAGTTGTACAGCTCAATTTGGGTGTAGCATAGTTTGATGTAGCCCATCTTCTATGCCTGGTCCTGAAATGTTAGCCAGTGGTGTTAAAGCATTGTCAGGTCTTTGGAAATGTAGAATCCAGGAGGAATCAATGCTATAGTTTATTACCACACACAATGTGTGGACTTTCACAAATGACCTTTAATGAATAGGCGAGATAAGGACAAGTGTTTGAATGGAACAGCTCCAGATGTCATGTTTTGCCCATTCAGCCTCAATGCCTTCATCCTAACCATATTCCAAAGGTTATTTTCCTGCAAGGGTCCATCATGCAGAACAAGAGAGCATCTTCAGTACTTGTAGTGTGTTACATTTCCCAGTCTGTTGGCAAACATTCAAGCATAAACAAAAAATAAGATAAAATAAAAATGGCTGTGTTACTCTTACAGCTAGCAAGGGTCTTCCAAGGTTGCCCACTAAAAACATGGCAAATGTATGCTCTTTTATTTCATCTTTCACTCTAGCTTACGTCAAAAACGAAAGTGGCCTTTCCAAAATGCCAAAGGCTGGCCTGGCAGAGCCTTTAATATTTGCTTTGTTTGCTTTGTGGGAGCAGAAGGGAAGCATTTAGTCATTGTTGGCATTTTCTGTACCAAATATCACTATTTTCTTCATCAGCATGCTTCGTGTTGAGAACATTTCCGCAATCATTCTGCACTGACTCAGCCATCTCTCCTATCCTGCTTGTTTTATATTTGTATCATGATAAGATTTCATGGATTCTGGGTGTCCTGAATCCAAATCTCATAGGTATTGCTTCAAAGGACCATATTTTTTTTTACATTTTTGATTAGGTTATGATGCTGCTTGAGCCTTGGCATTGTTATACTGGTATCTTATACAAGGGTGATTGCATAACTCTGTTTTGTTACAGACAGTGCTTGGAAAAGTTTAAAGTCTCGGAATCTGCATGAACTGAGACAGAGCTGTTGATTTTGGAGGTCTCTCCTCCATAGGGTTGCCAAAAGTCAAAGGCAACTTGATGGCACATAACCACAACAAAGCATAACTGTACTCGTATTAATACATTTTAGTACACTGGAAGGATCCAGATGTCTCCAGACACTGAACTACAGCCCCTATCTTCCTTCATTATTGGCCAAACTGTCTAGGGCTGATGGGAGTCGCAGTCTAACATCAAGGGTTCCACATGTTCCCAATATGTTTCCTAGAATATATTTCAGTGTTGGTTTCACTCTGTTCTTTCTTTTTCTGTGAATAAGCAAAATTTAAGATTGACTGGCGGGAGACAAAATGGCATACCTAATATAGGATTATACTTAATTTCCTATTACATTTGCAGTCTGTCTTTTCCCCAATGAGCTCAAAGTGATGTACAGGGCTCTCCTTATTTTGTTCTCATAACCGTCCTGCAATGTAGTTTAGTCTGAGAGTGTTTTACTGCCCCAAGGTCACTCATTAAGTTTCATGACCAAGTGGAGATTTTGAACTCTGACCATTTGAGTCCTAGTCTAACATTCTAATCACTGCATCCCACTGATGCAAATCAGTGTTTCCAATATTACTGCTAAAGCAGACATAGGGCCCAATCCTGCACATTTATTTGGAAAAGACATGACTATGTTAAATGAGACTTAATGCTGTGTGTGTTTAGGAAAGCAACCTCAAGATCAGAGTGCAATGTATTAAATTTCATTAGTGTCCTCTTCTCAAGAGCCCTGTAAAGGATGCTAATCTTTTGGTGAGCCAACTGTGGCCCTCCGGATGGTGCCGGGCTTATCATCGACTATGCTGGCTAGAACTGAAGGGAGTGACTGCCCACAGCATCTTGTTCTCATCCTGGTAAGGCCATAAAAAGGTCCAGTGTAAGTCAGAAGTGACTTGACAGCACATGGCTATTGTTATGCAGAAAAAACATGGGGGTGTGTTTCTCAACCAGGCAGCTCTTGGCTCACCTTCGTCTACCACGAATGTCACTTTGTACCTGGACGAGTATTTAGTGGAGGTTCAATGGAACTTTCAGCACTGAATTTAAAACTGAGGTTTTAATAGTTACTTGTTTTGAAGTCCACCAGTATCTGTGGCTGCTGCCCTGTTTTCAGTCTTCATTCTCCTTGTTCACCTGCCTCTGGGAGGGAATGTCTTGATCACATTTTTTATAATAACCAACCTCAGCTCTTTGAAATACTGTACTTCTTGATAAGAGAGACTTTGCTTCCTAGACTGCTATAATGATGATGATAATAAATGAACTTCTTGTTTCTTATCATTGCTGGTGCATAGGGCAGGCCCAAGAGTCAAGTCTAAAAATTATACAAATGAAATGCAAAAATTTTACAAGTGATGTACCATGTTTGTAAAATTCCTATTTTGGAATTTTAGGATGCCAATTAGCAACAATCATTTTAAAGTGGTAAGTATAGATTTTGGACCAACTCAGATTGTTGAAATTAGTATGATCTGATCTTGCTTCCTCATTCTTTTCATTTCTTGCCTTAATGTTTCGAACTTTGCAAATGTTCTGCTTTCCGTACTTTTGAGATTGCTTGTTGGCGCATCTCCTGTTTTTTATAAGATATGTTTTCCTTGTTGCTTATCCATAAATGGAGCACCTAGCTTTTTAAAATCAATTCTTCCATCAGTGATAAATTGCTTGTGCCATTATAATACTGCTGTTTCCTGTTCTAAAATTGGAAGTGGCTGGATTTATAAACTAGAGGAAAAGATGTGAGCAATCCATAAGATTTGGCTAACTGTTGAAAAATGATCCTTACAACTGATTATTGTTATCACCTCGGCAGCCTTAAAACATAACATGGAGGTTTTCCCCCAGGTAGGACCTTAGATTGGTATCTAAACTATTTGTTAGCTGAGAGATTTGGCTAACTGTTGAAAAAATGATCTTTACAACTGATTATTGTTATCACCTTGGCAGCCTTAAAACGTAACATGGAGGTTTTCCCTCAGGTAGGACCTAAGATTGGTATCTAAACTATTTGTTAGCTGATAGGAATAAGTCTAACACAGAACTAGTGGCCAAGTTTCTTGTTTCCGCACAAAGAGTACACAACACAATTCTTGCCTCTGTTTTATAGTATTTATTGTTTTCCAGTTATGTCCATGTTATTTTAAATTGTTCTAATGCATTTTCTTGTTTCTGTGACCCTATAATAAATATGATGACGAGGAGGTTTTTACCTAACCTAACATGTCCAGCATCATCTATGCCCACACAGGGATGTCACTCATTCTGCTGACCCACCACCACGTCCACAAGAGCGACTCATGCGAACCACCTTCGAGAATATGCAAAACGCTGGACACAAGTTTCCTACTTGCACAGGACTCTTCGTCAGGGAAAAGAAAGACCGTTCTCTTATCATTACAGAGCAAGACCTGCAAGGAGAAGGTGGGTCTCAAGAGGCAGTTAACTCCGATCGGGCAGCACTCGAGACACAACCTTCACCCTCCTCCGCCTCCTCCTCCTCCCGCTGCCAGTTTCTCCTCGTGTTTTACTACGAACCTTGTCGACCCCCCTCCCCGCCCCTCCTCCGCTCTTCTCCGCTTCCCTTCTTGGCCAAAGTCCCGCCTCAGGCTCCTCCCCTCCCGCCCGCGCAGCCACTCAGCGCGAGGCTCTGACATCAGCGCAGGGGAAGCCGACCCGGGGAAAGGGACGAGATTGATACATTGTAGCGATTCCTTTTCCTGTCTCCGCGTTCCGAAGAGCGAGCGAGCCGGG